ATTGGGGGTAAGTGGGGAGATCTTGGTGGCCATGGTAACAATGTGACATCATTATGTTGAAAGAAGTCTATTGTGACTCTTGCAACATGTGGTCGGGCATTATCTTGTTGGAAAGTTGAATCTGCCAGGGTGTCAAGATAGGGTAGAACTTCGTGGATATAACGCTGCGCGTTCATGTTACCTCTGATGAAGATTAAAGGTGACCTGGAACCATAAGCTATAGCACCCCAAACCATAACTCCAACAGTGTGATGAACATGTCTTTCAACAAAAAACTGTGGATTCCTCCTTTCACCACGTCGCCTTCTAACCCTGGCACGACCATCGTGCATGCCTAAACAAAATCGAGACTCATCACTAAAGACAATACTGTTCCATTCCTGATCCTAGAGTGACCGTTGTCCGCACCACTCAAAGCGATTACGTCGGTGTTCTCGAGTTAAAGGGAGGACCCAGTGTGGCCGGTATGAAAACAAGCCAAAACTTCTCATTCGTCGGTAAACACTTCGCATGCCAATAGGTCTTCCGTGTTCTGCAAACCATTCATTTGCGGAGAAACGGTCCCTTAAGGTCAATAATCTTAGGCGGCGATCTTCACGGTCTGTTGTTCTACGGCGGCGTCCAGTGCCCCTTGCTCTTTGCGTACGGCCTTCTCGAAGCCATGCCTGACAACACCTAACCACAGTGTCTACACTTCTTTGCACTCTAACTGCAATTGCCCGAAAAGAGAGTCCCGCTTCCCGAAGTCCCACTATACGGCCCCTATCAAACTCACTAAGTTGACGAAATCGTACAGGTCTCCGTACTCTAGGCATCGTAACCGATCGTAAAGGATGTCAAGAACCAAAATCCGCCAACGTTGATTCTTTACTGCGGCTGAAATATTCATTTTTAGAGCGTTAGTGAATTAAAAAAAAGCAGTATAAAAACCGGAATGTCCAACTGATAAGGCTGAAAATTTTTTCACTTGTTATTTACAGTAAGATAAACACATTCACCAACTTTTATTAAAATAAAACCATTTAAACTGGGTGTTCGGATTTATATGTCACTTAGTATATTTCCATGCTTGGTATACAGATCAAAACATCAAAAGTACGAACAGTATCACAGCTTCTTGCTGCTATGGTGTTAAAACCACAATAACAATTATGTCTGAACAACAATATCACTAGATGTTTAGATATAATGAGCTGCTAACAACATGAGTTTGAATTCAGGTATGAATAATAATCTGTACTCATTACGTGTGAAAAAATTAGGTAGTTGCACAACCCGTTTAAGAATGGCCTTTGTACGATAGCTAAAATTGAAAGTGTTCTAAATTTAATTTTACGAAAATTACCTCAATACACCAATCTCTGATTTGTACACAAAATTCAATTTTATAACACAATAAAGAAATCAGTCTGCAATAATTGATGTTTTATTTAACTCTTTGGTTTTGAAATGCTACTGAGCTGTAAATTGCGGTGATGATTTCGTAATGTTTTGATGTATAACCGGTGGTTTCCACCGGTGACCAACTAATTTGGCCGTTTTTTGTGCATGTTTCTGTTTGAAATGCGGGTCAAAGGTGTGAAATTGTAATTTATCCGCGAAATTTTGTTGTGTTGGCAATCTATAAGCTACAATTAAGCTTTAGAAACATGCAAAACCAGAATTCTACGATTATTAAAAATGAGTAAATAAATAAAACCTATTAAAACGGAAGAAGCTAATAAGTAGGGAGTGAGTGCGGTGTAGGCTTGGTCGATAACTCCGTTATTACGGATGATATCTAAAAAAGTTTTATGAAAATACTAGTCAACAATATGCTCGTGACTTGAAAAATATCTTTATTTCTACAGGGTGAATCACAATTAAGTGGTGACCCAAACATAATCTTTTATTAAATGGAAAGGCCTACATAATTGTTAAACAATCTATCGAAAAAACAGTCAACTTTGACAACTGGCACCACCGCAGGTGTTATTGCTAGAGTACTGAATTTTTCGTCAAAAAATGTTATGATCCCATATTTTGTCTCTACTCATTTTCATTTTCTTGGACAGTTTATACAGGGTGGTCAGTAAGGTGAAATTAACTATTTCTCAAAATTTTTAAATGGATCACCCTGAATATATTCACATTTTTCTATTCCCCTTTTTGCGAGTTTCTTTCTCAGATAAGGTTTATGGGAGTTTGTACGTTTCTTGAGTTCCAAACAACACAGGTATGCAATGTTGGATTCTGGCTTCACTGCATGTGGCTGGGTGGATTTGATTTATAACGAAAATTCACAAATTCTAAGGATCTCTGCTTAACAACTAAAAGGTATTGTAATATTTTTCATTTACCTTACAAAAAGATTAGCTGCAACTCAAAATCCAGTAGTACAAACCTCCATTGACGTTATACGAGGGATGTCTTTTAAGTTTTGCATATGGAAATAAAACAACACGGTAGGTAGTTTGAAATGACTTTTTTGTTTTTCGAAGTATTCTCCACGAAGATTAATTCACATCTGCATGCACTCGAACCAATTTTCGAAGCACTGACTCCACTCGTTTGCTGGCAGATCCAAAACGGCTTTTTGAATGCGTCAACTGCTTCTCCTGGTGACTGGAACCTTTGACCACGCAGTCTGTTTTTAATTTTCGGGAAAGTAAAGAAATCTTTAGGACTTGGATCGGGACTGTATGGAGGATGGTCCAAAAATTCCACGTTTTGTTCCGTTAAATACTGCCTTGTTTTTTGGGCTGTGTGCGAGCTTGCATTGTCTTGGTGGAGGGTGATTCATCTTTCGGGGTTGATTTTTCGAAGCTCGGTGATGACTTTTGGCAAACAAATGGTGGTATACCAATCCGCAGTAACAGTTATTTGCTCATTAAGAGGAATTGTTGCAATATGACCCGCTTTTGACACAAATGTCGCGACCATCTTTATCGAAACACTTCGAGAACGGATGACTTTTATTGGCTTTTCTCCATACCAACGGGAAATTGTCGACTGATGTGGCGCTTCGTTGCCGAAAACCGACAGTAACTCAGCAAGGCATTCTTGTTGCGATAATTGTCTCTGAAGGTTGTAATAAATTATGGCACGAAAATGTTCTCGGTTGAGTTCCATTTTTCTAATGACTTGGTGACACTTAAAAATTCATTGTAGTGAGAACACTGCACGTATTATTGTGAAACTTTGAATTTAAGTTTACTAAAGAGTGAGGTTAAGATTCAGTACTGACGTTCCATCCGCGCGGCCTACTATGCTTCTATATGCAAAACTTAAAAGACATCCCTCGTATAAGTGATTATAAAATTGGCGAACAGACCGACAAACAGACAGATGAACAAAAATGAATGATGGTTTTTCGTGATTTATGTGTAATACAACATAATACCTCAATTTTTCGCGATTACTTCCGCACCAGACTTAGGAAGTGAAAATACGGCATTTTTCAAATTTTGTTGAAATTGTTACAGTATCTGGTTCTATTGCGAGTGTAACAAGTTTTCAGTTTCATTTTTTCGTTTCAGTTTTCGAAAAGTACAAGGCTGCGTTCGTAAATTGTTGCAGGGTGTATACTTTGTAACAACTTGGGTATATAATTGTTTGACGTACCTGTTCCATGTGTTCGGAGCTTTCATGGTTCAATGTTTGCTATATTTGGTTATCAAAAAATGCTCAAAATATTTAGAATATTGTATTTTCCACGATAAGCGGTCTACCCCGTATCAATAGCGTTTCTTATAATAAATATAGTGGTCCCAGAAAACGTGGTCAGAAATTAGGGTCATATCGTCCTACAATTGTAGGATACCTTTATGGCCTCCTTGATTTTCATAGTATTTTCTCTCCTTCAAAAAGGCTGAGGTATTTCTAGATTTCAGTACTGACGTTCAATCCGCGCAGCCTACTATGTTTCTATATGCAAAACTTAAAAGACATCCCTCGTATCAAAAAAGAAACTTGTAGAAACGGGCATGAAGGAATGTGAAAATATCGTGTATAAACTGTCAAAAAATCTGAAAAAGTAAGTAAATTCATCACTCTAACTGTAACAATTGCGGAGGTGCGAGCTGATAAAGCTGAGCTTTTTTTTCTATATAGTAAAATACCAAAATTGATGACAGTAGCGAAACTCATCGTACGCCACTGCTGTTATGCGGAGACCTTCGAAAATGCGGCGCTTCTTTGTGAATTGTCGGTAAACGTCGCTGTAATGAAAAGGTACAGCGTCAAAGCAGTGGCGCACGATGACTTCTGCTACTGTCATCAATTCTGCTATTTGACTATAGTTTGTCCAATATCTCAACAATTTGAAAGTAGAACCCATAGTATGTTATATAAAATCACTTGGTTCTGAAAGGCCATCCATCCAGGATGTAGGCCTTTCCATTCAAAAAAGTATTGTTTGGGTCACCCCGTACTTGTGAATCACCCTGTAGAGATAAAAATAATTTCCAAGTCAGGAGCATACGTTTAGCTACAGTTATTGTGCTAAAATTCTCAGTAAGTATTCATAATATCGGTGTTATTACACACAAAAAACTTACCCTGAATATCGCTAATGTCATACATGTCTGGCTCATATAATTGGGCCGTGCCAAAAGTATTGCCCTATCTTGCTGGCAACTATATTGTAGCTAGATAATGCAGTGAAAATATTGCCCCCTTAAAAGCGCCGTTACTGTTTGAAAAAGTATCGTAAGCTCAATAATGTAGAAGAGGACTAGCCTATGTTCTAATTCCCGTATTGTTTCTTGAATCTCTGAACTACCTATATGTCAAATTTTTTCGACAAAAACGGCCAAACTATACCTCAGAACGAACTTATAGTGCTTATTAAGATCTACTATTACTAATTGTTGTATTAGATATTATTACAAAAATCTCGCTATAGACTTACTTTGCTACATTGAATGTTTTGTTGCAAGAAAAGAAATATCAACAAAAATGACCTGGGCTATTTCTGTATAGCTTCTTTTACATGAAACTAATGTTTTGTTTTATTTCAGGAATTATTCTACTGTGCACCCCATGGAGCTGCGAGTCAATAACCGCAGAGCCAAACGGCACAACCAACGAACCTATCTCTCTCGATAAGGCAGAGCGTAGCGTTAACCTGATCGAACAACCTCCAAAGACTGACAATGATCAAAAACTTGTACATATCCCGCTAAACGTCACAACCGCACCTTCCAACACAGCCACAAACCAAACGAATGACAACCATGACAGCGCCAATACAACTAGCACCACAACTACCACTACAGAAAGAATTGTCAAAAAAGAAAAAGAGAAGAGCGAAAAGATTAGAGAGAGCAACTCAAGATCGATAGATATAGACAAGTATGTCTCTCCTGAGTTCCAAGACAATGAGTTCACGCTTTCCCATTATACGGACACTGAGAAGTATGCAAATCATTTTGAATATGGGACGTCCTCCACTGGAAGAACGTCCTCAAGCTATGAAATGGACCTGACCACCCCCAAGACAGCGTACTTTGATGATAAGTTCAAAGAAGCAGTCCAAAAGCTTGAACAGGAGTTTGAAGAAAGTCACGATAACGGAGAGCATGACACTGAAGAAGAGGATGAACATGAGGACGCGAGAGAAAATGAAGACGTGAATGATAATAACGATGAAAGTGAGGATGAAGATGAAGACACGCAAGGCGAAAAACCAGAAGAAAAACCTAAGATCTTTCCCAACGCTACAGTGAATTACAAAGAAACTAAAAATGTTATCATGAAGAACAATACACGTGGCAAAGGCGTGGCTAGAAACAACGTAGTAGTTGAGAAAGTAATGAAAGTAAATTACGTCTCTAACTTCAACGATACGAAAGCTTACGGGTACAAGGACCAAACAACGGAGGCTCCCAGGAGTACAGTGCCTACAACCAGAAAGGGTACCACTTTAACTAAACCTCCGGTTGATCAAAACAACAGTCACATATTGAGCAACAAGATAGAAACTGAAACGATAAAAGCTCTCAATATAGGAACTACACCTGTACCTTCTTCAACAAAATCAATGACCAAAGAATCGTTGAGAGATTTGACAATGGCGCCTGACACAATTACTTCCACGGAAAAGCTGTCTACAACTACATACTATGAGGCTTCTAACGAACCTGAATCTACGGTCCATTCGAGCGAGATCACTACTTCAACAGAAGATATGACCACTACGAGTGTTCAATCGACAGAAAATTGGGACAGAACTAGCTCTGAAACACCCGAATTCACTACAATATTTCTCGCTCACGAGTATCCCAGAGATGACTACACATCTACAGAGTTAACAGAGAGTACCGAGGAACCTATGGGCAGCTCAACAGTAGCAATATACGACACGACAGTTACGTCATCAGAAGAACACATGGTAGAAGTGACCGAAAAGATGATTCCAGTAGACTTTACTCCTGACGATGAACTAGTGAACATGACTACGACTACTTTCGACGACTTGACTACGACAGAGCATGTTGTCGAACATCAACACCCCTCTACTGTAGAGACGACTGTTACGCACATTGTTCAGGACGATTCCACTACTGGACCACAACATGTTGAGGGTTCTTCAAGTGAAGTGCCCGTTACTACAGCTGCAGGTACCACAACGCTGTCACATCAAAATCAAAGTTCGTTCCCAGGAGTGGAACAAATTCCTAGGTATGCATTTTAATGGTATATACAAAGACAAATCTTGAAAAAAAAAACACATATGCAGTGTTACGAAGAAAGTTTTTCTCAAAAAAAAAAATGTAATAGAAGTCCTGCAGAAATTGAGATAATAAAATAATACAGTTTAACAGTTCACTTACTTATAAAAGCTAATTCCTATACACCTCCTTGCTGTGCCTGGAGGTTCAAATTATCGACAATATCTGTTGTGGGCGAACCCAAGCCCCACCCACTCCACGACTGGGGCGCAAATCTCCACTAGCACGTGCACGTGAAACAATTGAACTAAATGTTTCATGATGTGGTATTTGCCTATTCGGAAATCGGTGTGCATACAAACGAGAAGCCGCTCGCGAATTTTGCCCTGCTTCTCCGTACGCTAAAACAATGTCCACTAACTCCTCATTAGTGTACACATGTGCCATTATTATTAATAAATAACTAAAAACATAAACTCGAAAAATACTTTCTTTTTTAACTTCACAAAAATCGACCGTTCTTCATTCAGATCACCCAAGATACAGACTAAACCTTATTTACACGTTCTTATCAGTACGAAAAAACAAAAGATTCCTGGGATTTTGTTCTCGTCAGTTGCTTGGTACAACATTTGCTACAATAAATTATGAATACCTGTTCTAATATCACGACGATACACGCAAAATACAGATATTTATTTTTCAATTTATTATTGAAACTCAGGTTTATAACTTAATTTCTGTAGGATTTTTATTACATTTTTCTGAAAAATCAACTTGTGTAGTAATAGTGCATATGTGGTTAAAATTTGTCGGATAAGTTGTGAAACACCCCGAATAAGTTCAGATCTCGTACTATACAATAGTTTCAACATTTGCGACAATATTTGATTGTTAGTTGAATTTTGATACGATATTTGAGATACATTTCCAGAAATATTCTGAGACGTTTTTAATATATATATATGTACAATTGATTTTTGAACGTGTAAAGCTGGTAAGCTAAAATTCGGGTCAATGGAACTGATGCATGGATTGTATACTAAGTGACATATAAATCCGAACACCCAGTTTAAATGGTTTTATTTTAATAAAATTTTGTATAAGTACTTAATGAAGCATAATAAGTAAATGATAAAAATTTCAAAATGATTGCACTGCTTTAAAGCCCTTCGACCTTTAATAATGTGTGGATGCACCCTGATGTGCTACGCATTCTCCAACGCGCCTAGGCATGCTTCTGATCAGGTGGTCAATGTCCTCCTGTGGTATCTCATTCCAGGCAACCACCAACTCCTCTCGAAGTGCTTCTAGAGTCTGAGGAGGACGTTGCAAATTGAGCAATCTCCTACCCATCATATCCCACACGTGCTCAATTAGGGATAAGTCGGGAGATCTTGGTGGCCATGGTAACAATGTGACATCATTATGTTGAAAGATGTCTATTGTGACTCTTGCAACATGTGGTCGGGCATTATCTTGTTGGACAGTTGGATCTGCCAGGGTGTCAAGATAGGGTAGAACTTCGTGGATATAACGCTGCGCGTTCATGTTACCTCTGATGAAGATTAAAGGTGACCTGGAACCATAAGCTATAGCACCCCAAGCCATAACTCCAACAGTGTGATGAACATATCTTTCAACAAAAAACTGTGGATTCCTCCTTTCACCACGTCGCCTTCTAACCCTGGCACGACCATCGTGCATGCCTAAACAAAATCGAGACTCGTCACTAAAGACAATACTGTTCCATTCCTGATCCTAGAGTGACCGTTGTCCGCACCACTCAAGGCGATTACGTCGGTGTTCTCGAGTTAAAGGGAGGACCCAGTGTGGCCGGTATGAAAACAAGCCAAAACTTCTCATTCGTCGGTAAACACTTCGCATGCCAATAGGTCTTCCGTGTTCTGCAAACCATTCATTTGCAATGGGCCTGGTAGTGGAGAAACGGTCCCTTAAGGTCAATAATCTTAGGCGGCGATCTTCACGGTCTGTTGTTCTACGGCGGCGTCCAGTGCCTCTTGCTCTTTACGTACGGCCTTCTCGAAGCCATGCCTGACAACACCTAACCGCAGTGTCTACACTTCTTTGCACTCTAACTGCAATTGCCCGAAAAGAAAGTCCAGCTTCCCGAAGTCCCACTATACGGCCCCTATCAGACTCACTAACTTGACGAAATCGTACAGGTCTCCGTACTCTAGGCATCGTAACCGATCGTAAAGGATGTCAAGAACCAAAATCCGCCAACGTTGATTCTTTACTGCGGCTGAAATATTCATTTTTAGAGCGCTAGTGAATTAAAAAAAAGCAGTATAAAAACCGGAATGTCCAACTGATAAGGCTGAAAATTTTTTCACTTGTTATTTACAGTAAGATAAATATATTCACCAACTTTTATTAAAATAAAACCATTTAAACTGGGTGTTCGGATTTATATGTCACTTAGTATATAACTTAAGCGTAAAAGTGGCTGTTGAATATTTTCACTTTATAATCTAATCTAGAATACAAAATCATTATCTTACAAAGTGGCGAACTGACAGGTTGTCAAAATTGAGCGTTTTTGTACATTGATACGCTTATAACTCAACAACTAATAAACAAAAGGTTATAGTAGTTTATGAAAAACAAAGGACAATCGTGAGCATGTAAACAACAGGAACCCAAGTGACTTACGTTTCTGCTTATTGCTTCATCAGGCCCAAATGAATGTTCTAGATATCAGAAATTAGTTCAATCGTATTCTGTATTTCATGAGATTCCTATTACAGTTCTTTAAAGAGTCAAATTATTGTGTTTACTTGCTTCTATCGATTTTAACTGTGGATAAGATTAACAAAATTTAAATTTTTTAGGAACTATGATGGAACTGATGTGCCTTCCAGCCCCACAACTGAGCACGAGCTTACGGAAGCCTCCATAGGTACAGAGAGCTCAGTAACTCCATCATACAGTGATGATATCAATCAAGGAAGGGTGGCTGCTATTGTAATCTCTTCAGTCGGAGCTGTATGCCTAATTCTCTTGGCAACTCTATTGGTAAGTAACGTTAAGTTAAGTGGGCATAGTCTTTGAAAAACTCAAAATACTGTGCGGAAGTACCATCTGCCAATAGTTTGGTGGTCTTCATCTTTATCCTATGGACCGGTAACGTAGGGATTATTCGCCATATGTCATCGTACGAGACGAAATGAGAAAGAGGTAGTAGTAATAGATTTCCCTAATAATATTCTAGGTCACCCCAGTGCCCTAAACATCCATGATGTAATTTGAGTCTTCTTGATGTATCTTATTCCAAGCTAGCTGTACAAAAGCTGTTAACGTTTGTAGAGGATGACGACAAGAGGTCACCTTCCTTCCTAACATATGCTACACACGCTCAGTGGGCGAAAGGCGGTCAGCAACGTGGCTTAGTAGAGGGATGCTGAAGCAATCTATTGCAGCCCCAACACGGAAGGGGCATTTTCTTGTTAGAATCATTGGGAGGAATAGCACCAGAAGTGACATTGTGGCAGCTCAAACCATAACGCCTACAGTATAGGGCAGGTAACATGCAACTGACAGTTTTATATCATGTGTTTCTTCTAAATTACTCCTGACTCGTGTGTGTCCCTAACACAGATCTGAGATCAAGAAAAGTGGGATGATGGATGATATAATATCGTTTATTTGATGATCTTCTGTTTGAGAAATGCATCATGTACTGGCGCGAGTCCACCATACTGTAGCAATTATGGCTTAAAGAGCCATTGAATATGGTGCTAAGTCGCTGCCAACTTGCATTAGAGGAGGTTAGACCATATACCATACAGGGAACACTGGAACCCATTTTGCCATTCCTCTAAACGCTTGAAGACCCTATCTTCCAACAAGATAATATCCGAGGCCATATTGCTAGTTTTCGAGACCTTCGCCCATTAGACATGTGTGGAATAGGAAGGAAAGTGACCTTCACCTCATCCTCCACAAATGCTAACAGCTTTTCGGAACCTAGCACAGCACACTTGAGATGATATACTTCGAAAAGACATGGATCATCACGTGCATGCCCCAACGAGGTGGTCCCTGATTGAGGCAGCCGAGCACATTTTTAGGAAAATCCACTGATACAATAGAATTTCATAACTCAATCGCTTCTTCTTCCTGCTCATGTCTAACTGCGTATAAAATCTCAATCAATTAGAATTATTTTTTCTGGGTGTTCTATTTTCGTTGTATATACAGGGTGACCCAGAAGTCGACGTCAAGCCGAAACCGGGTGATAGGCAAAGTCATAACAGCTATTTGAAAAATATTTAAAAAAATTTTATGTATGTGTTTTGAAAATTATAGGTCTTTGAAAAAGATATAGAAATTTCACACCCTACGGCAGTCTGTCAACTCCTGTTACTACAAATATTAACTTTTTTGGATTTTATTTTTACAATGTAATGATGAATAATGCATCTTCAAACTGGTGTCTCAACCTTACTGCCAACTTTTCTCGTTCAGGAAAAATTGCCACTTATTTCCCAACCAAGTATTCCAAAGTAGAACTTTGCTCAACTTTAACTGGCTGTACTGGAAAAAATGTACTACGAGAGTTTGGCAAGTAACCTTAAAAGTTGGCGCATTTAATAAGGATTCCAAAATGGTATAACACTTAGAAGATTACTCGTTAAGTTATGCACAATTTTTATTTGAAGAAAAACTGATCAAAATTTTTCAAAATTTCCTAATTAAACAGCGATTATGAAAACGCACAAGGACCTTTAAGGATAACTGTTTGCACAACAGTGGGCGTCAAAATGCTGCTGATGATGATTTACCTTTACAGCAAATGCTCAAACTGTTTTCCTTCAGCCGCAATACACGCGCGACATCTTCTTAAAAAAGATCGGGTTATTAAACGAGCGAATCCACGGTTATTAACAAACTCAGCTGCTTCCAATAGTCTTTGCCGTAGCTCAGCTATATTTTGAGTCGGCTTGAAATACACTTTTTCTTTTACAGTTCCCCAGTAAAAAAAATCTAAAGGATTCAAATCAGGTAATCGGGCTGGCCACGGTATTGTACCAGACCGCCTTATCCATCTGCCTGGAAAGTTTTGATCGAGATACCCTCTCACTGAGAGTGCATAGTGCGCTGGGCAGCCATCATGCTGAAACCATATGTCCCTGTAAATACTCAGTGGCACGTCCACCAATAAATTTTGTACATGATTTTTCAAAAAATCCAAATAAACTTCAGCAGTCAAAGTATCTGGGAACTCAACGGACCGATTATTTTACCATTTAAAATTCCTGTCCAATGGTTTATCTTGAAGCGATATTGAGATTTATCTTCTCTCATCAAATGTGGGTTTGCTACGTGCCATTCGTGTAAGTTATGCAGGTTCATGTACCCATCTTTCTTAAATGTGGTCTCATCCGACCATAAAATTTTTTCAAAGAACTGTGGATCTTTCCTGTGTCTTTCTAACATTTTGCGACAAAAAGCAACTCGGGGCTCATAATCCCGGGGCAGGAGAGGTTGAACACGATGTATGTGGTATGGATGAAGCACATCACTTACTTGCTATTGCACACTTTGATACCGATCAGTACTCCTTCGTTTACTGCGCATCTTTACATGTTCGTGCTTGTTGATTTCGTACTGTTACTAATTTTGGATTCGTGAACTGGACTGTTGATCGCTTGTGATTTGGATTTGTACTGTTTAATTGCTCTTCAAAACAACATTTGCTTTCCTTAGACTATCTTTCATAGTGTGATTGTGCAGTGCCGCTATGTCCGTGTACACCGTACAAGAATATGCTAACATGCACCTCATTTATGGGGAATGCAGATGCAACGCTAGTGCTGCAGCGAGACTTTACTGTGAGAGGTACCCGAATGCAGCTCATCATCCAGATCATCGAGTGTTCACAAATGTGCACCGCTTACTGTTCTCAGAGGGCCAACTACCAAACCAATCACACGGTGAGGGAAGATCTTTTCTTCCTTACGAAGACGTGGTGCTAGGAGCTGTGGAAGAAGACCCAAGTACTTCAGTGCGTGCAATAGAACTAAAAACAGGTGTGCCCAAAAGTACAGCCCATAGAATCTTGCAAAAAAACGTGCTCCATCCATACCACGTACAGCGTGTTCAAGCTCTTCTGCCCCGGGATTATGAGCCCCGAGTTGCTTTTTGTCGCACAATGTTAGACAGACACAGGGAAGATCCACGGTTCTTTGAAAAAATTTTATGGTCGGATGAGACCACATTTAGTGATCTTCTAAGTGTTATACCATTTTGGAATCCTTATTAGATGCGCCAACTTTTAAGGTTACTTGCCAAACTCTCGTAGTACATTTTTTCCAGTACAGCCAGTTAAAGTTGAGCAAAGTTTTACTTTGGAATACTTGGTTGGGAAATAAGTGGCAATTTTTCCTGAACGAGAAAAGTTGGCAGTAAGGTTGAGACACCAGTTTGAAGATGCATTATTCATCATTACATTGTAAAAATAAAATCCAAAAAAAGTTAATATTTGTAGTAACAGGAGTTGACAGACTGCCGTAGGGTGTGAAATTTCTATATCTTTTTCAAAGACCTATAATTTTCAAAACACATACATAAAATTTTTTTAAATATTTTTCTGATAGCTGTTATGACTTTGCCTATCACCCAGTTTCGGCTTGATGTCGACTTCTGGGACACCCTGTATATCTATGTAACATGTATTCATTCTCGAACATTTTCTTCAGTACGTTATAAGGAAGAGGCAAAATAAATTCAACTACAAGCAAAGATGTAGACCAGTGGGCCTAGATGACTACAGTGTTGATAATCTGTCAGTCTACAACAGTGTAAGAAGAAAGGGTCTTTACAGGCAGTCAAAGAGATCTTATGGAAATCCTGCATTTGATGATCATGTAAGTATAGTATATCAAGTTTAACGATTTTGCAAGGTATATGTTTAATATTTGACATATTTTGCAAGGTTCTATGACAGACCATTCCTTATGATTCTGACTTATACTTCTTTAAAAACTATGAACAAATTTTATTTTAGGAGGTAACAACCCATCCCCTAAACTTCCCAGCATTGGCTAAATTCGCGACAAACACTGTAGACATGAAAGCCGAGTTTGAGGACATTCCTCAGATTACTGCTAAGACTAGTGAGCTACCTGAAGGCTGTGAGACAAAGAATCGTTACGCTAATGTGATTCCTCTTCCTGAAACCAGGGTGTATCTTAACGCTATTGACGGACAACCGAATAGTGATTATATCAACGCTAACTATGTTACGGTAAGCTGAAACGTCATTTCTATTTTACATATGTTTTGCGAAATACAGACAAAAAATGATTTTTCACAACATCCTGAGGTAGCCTTGAAAATTAAAGTATTGTACGGCTTTTTAACAAAGGTAGTGTTGCTGAAAAAGAATCGATCGGTAACCCAAACCAAGCAGACACTTTAAAGCAAAGGATCTCGCTTGAGTTGTTTTTCATCGCTGCGCCATGTTTGAGTAATAAAATAAAAACCGTTCTATTGTCTAACTTGCAAAATTATTATTAATTTAAGTGGAAAAATTAAACACATTAGGGGTAATAAACAACAACTGACAACATAAACATAACATTAAAACCAACGAGATGATCGTTGAAAATGGCACCCTTCACTTAGTATGCATGCCTCCGCCCTCCTTTTCATTGCGCACTCGTTGAAATATCCCTGGAGTGTTTTATTATTCTATCACAAGCTGCACCTATTCTTTCTCTTAATTCCTCTACAGTGTTAATGGGACTTGTGTACAATAGTGTCTTAAGATATCCCCACAAAAATTAATCTAAACTGTTGTGGTCTGGCCATTCTTGGGGCGCACCGTGACCAATCCAACGATTTGGATAAACAGTTTGTAAATAATTACGAACCGCTACCCTGAAATGCGCTGATGCACCATCAATAATTCCTGCCCATACGTTAACCGAAATTTGGTGTTGGAAATGAGTTTCGGTTACGGAATAGGGATTTTCTTGTGCCCACAAATAATTATGTAATTTTTGTGTAATTTTTTGAAGATACCACTGACAAAAGGTTACACGTCTTGGAAAATCAAAGGGAAGTAATGCCTGTACTCTTAAAATATGGTAAGGATATAACAAAAAATCCACTAAAATTCTCCAAACAATTTGATGGCAAATATTTAAGTGTCTAGCGATCTTCCTCGTACTCGTGTCAGGATGCTCTTCGACTTTGTGCAGCACTGCTTCATAAATTTCAGGTGTTCTCACACTTAGAGGTCTACCTTCAGATGTTCATTTTCGGACAGAACCAGTTTCAACAAGACGACGATGAATATTAGAAAAGGTTCGACTATCTGGAAAAGCATGATCGGGATATCTGTGGTGATAAATCCGTCTGGCTTGCTCACCATTACCGTCGGCAAGGCCATATACGTAATGCATTTCCGCCATTTCTGCATTTGAATAATTCACCATTATTAACAAGATTGTAAAAATTATATAATGAAAAAGATGTCACAGTGAACAGATTTCAATAATACAGACTTGTCCGATGTCAAAAGCCAGTGACATATTCCAGAGCAAGAAGATATTTATTGCTAAATTGCATTGTTCAATTATTACATTAATTTTCTTGGACAATAGAACGGTTTTTATTTTTTTTTACTCAAAAATGGCGCATCGAAGGAAAACAATTCAAGCGAGATCATTTGTTTTAAATTGAACGAGCAATTCAAAAATAATTTTCATTTGGCAGAAAACCATTAGCGTACCATTTTTTTTCTTAAAAACGTACGCACGCCACTGTTAAAGCTAAACATTATTTTTGCATTGAAAAATAAGAAACTTCATTAACTTTCACTACGTACTAAATATCAGTGAAATATTTGAAGCGGTTCTGAAAATATTAATTGATTTCCATTTTTTTCCTAAAACTTCAACACCCCGAGTTTTTGTAAGGAAGCATTTTTGGGCCACGGTTTATAAAGCAAACTAACATTAATTTTCCATGTAGATTGACACCCTTAAATATTCGCATATCATTAAGGAATACCCTGTATATTCATACTCATTATGAGCTGCTCAATCCGAAACGTCTCTCAATTTATTTTCAAAAAGGCAAAAGACATCGACAATATCATGTATGGTATTTTCTAGAACCCTCAAGTACTTGGGGCACCTCTAGAATATGTAATAAATGTATCGTCACCATTAAAAGTTCATAGAAATTTATAATAAATATTTTCAGGGTTATAAGGGTATAAAATCATTCTACATAGCGTGTCAAGCGCCGATGCAAAACACGGTCGATGACTTCTGGAGGATGATATGGGAACAGCAAGTGAAGGTCGTATTGATGATCACGCATCTATTCGAAAATGGAGTGGTAAGATCAACAACTATTCGGTGTATGTCCTTTCTCTTATAAATATACTCGTATTTACCTTTTAGGAAAAATGTGTCGATTATCTACCCCCGTCGGAAGTTTTGGATTGCCATAGGGTATTTGGAGATTTTCAGATCACTCTGAAAAAGAGGGATGTCAAGGACAAATATATTATCTCGAGCCTCCAGCTTAAGGTAAAGTATATGAAAGTATGGGCCAAGATGAGCGAAAATTTCGAAAAATAAGTTTTCAAATTTTGAAATGACGGTCATTGCTAGTCGGGGAAATTTTTTGTGAAAATTGTATGTATTCCTTATGGCAAGCGATTTAATAGCTAATTGAAACATTTTAGAGTAATATCTTACATGCTAAATGTTGAAAAAATGGAGAACAGAGCTTAGACTTATGTTAGTGTTATAGCAAAAAATGCATCTTGAGTCAACGTAATTTCTTTTTAGAACATGGTTTCTAATAGCTGGAGAGAAGTTACCCACTTCTGGTACTTAGGTTGGCCAGATAAAGGAGTTCCTTCGGAAGCAAATTCACTGATAGCATTTCTTATTGAAGCGAGGAGTTATATGAAGACAAGTACGTTAGATAAGGTAAGACGGTATTCTTAATATCATTATGTTCATATTCTCACTGTCAGTGTATAAGCAATATGGGCAGTTAGCAGTTAATAAATAGTTAATAAGACAATTTGACGATGCTTTCAGGTAAAACAAATCGCAATTATATTGCATTTTCGTTCGCCTTCTGAGAGTGTCACTTATTTTTTAGACTCCTTAAAAAATTGTCTCGGTTTTGTCAGTCTCAAATATGATTATTTATTATTGATAGGAGATCTAAATATTAACATTTTAAATAACTCTGCATATACAAATCGGATCAAAAATATAATTCACAGTTTCAACTTATCACAAAGGATCAGTGAGCCAACAAGATTCAATTTTTCCGCAAGAGAGGCTTGCCTCATTGATATAATCTATGCTAGTGAGGATCTTGTCTCTATTGATTTTAAATTATTGGCTGTTTCTCAAAATCTTTCAGATCATAATTTAATTTAATCAGCCTTTTGAAAGTCAAAAATTGATAAATCACAAAAGACTATTAAATATAGAGACTACAATAATATAGATAGAGAGTCCTTCTTAAATGAAGCGTTTTTACTTGGGTGGGAGGATATTTACTATATAAACCAAATCGACCAAAAAATAGAAGTCTTTAATAAGATATAGATAGAAACAAAACAAATAAAAAACCTTATGTACCCTGGGTAAGTCGAAATATAAAAATTTTAATCAGACTAAGAGATAAAGCTCATAAAACATTGAAAAATCCAAATCACAGGCTCATTTTGAATATTATAAACAACTAACGAACTATACAAAGCATGCAATTATCCGAGAAAAAAATACATTCTTTAACTTACTCTCAACAAAGAAAGGTAAGGAATTTTGGGACACTACCAAAAAGCTCAACATAACATGCAAGAAAACTCACTCAACTATACCCGAACACTGACAAAATGTAAATGACATACACAATTACTTCCAACAGACCGACAATTTACCAGACACTGCTTCCCAAGAATTAATCAATTTTTACAAAAACAATGTAAACATTAACGATTCTCTTAGCATCCAACTGTTAAGCAGGGCCAGTCTAATCAGAATTGTAACTAATATCTCATCAAATGCCATTGGAGAGGATGGTTTCTCTATGAAATACCTAAAGTTATGTATCCCATTTTGTACGATAGCCTTGCTGAATATAATCAACACATGTATTTTGGGGGGATTATTTCCAGAAATATGGAAGAAAGCTATTTTTAAACCCTTACCAAAAATAGCAGAACCTAAAGAATTTATAGACTTTAGGCCTATTAGCATATTACCCGCTACATCCAAAATATTTTGGCATATTTATTATAATCAAATTAGATTTTTTTGTGACAGAAACGATATCATACCCGATAGGCAATCCGGTTTTAGGAAAAACTTTAGGACAAGTACATCATTAGTTCATCAGACATCATCAAGAACAAAGAATAGTACGTGCATGAATCTTCTCGATTTTAGTAAACCGTTCGACACTCTGGATCATGAAATGTTACTAGCCAAGTTACATTACCAGGGTTTTCGCAGAGCTCCGTAAATCTAATAAAAATACACTTAAGCAACCGTGCACACTGTGTTATATTAGCAGATGATTCCGCTATTTACAAAACCGATTTTAAACCTATTAAAAGAGGAGTCCTCAAGGTTCAATTTTATCTCCTTTGCTATTTTCAATCTACATATCTGACATGGTCAAATCGGTAAAATTCGCAAAGATAAAACAATGTGCAGATGACTCACAAATATATCTCCCTTTCAATAAAACCACAATCCATATTGCACAACAACAACTAAATTCAGATCTCCAAAGTATTGACAGATTTGCAAAGCATCACAATCTTAAACTAAACCGCTCAAAATCGCAAGTAATGGTTATGAATAAAAACAGTAATGAAAGAGAACATTTTGAACAAAATTTAGTAATTTCTATTAACAATGAGAAAATCCCCATGGTTCAGGAGACAAAAAATCAAGGCATTATATTTGATAGCTCGCTTGGCTTCGGAAGTCATATAAAAAACAGAACAAATTTAGCTTACATGCGACTAAGAAATATAAACAAATTAAAAATACATTTATCAGCCAAACAAAAATATTATTTATGTAATACCTTAATTTTATCACTTTTTGACTAAGGAGATGTCGTCTATGGTGATTCGCTATCATCGTGAACCAAAAAATGCATACAAAAAGTTCAAAATAGTTGCATGAGATTTGCGTTTGGAATTCCATATCGAAACCATATCACTCCTTATCTGAATAACTACAGCATATTAAACATGACGAATCGCAGAAAGTATCACATGTATTCTTTTATCTATAGAGTTATAAAAACAGGTCAACCGCCCTATTTAAAAGAAAGATTTGTGCTTTTGCCTCGTGCCCAGAGGAGCAGAAATAATCTCAATTTTATCGTAAATAGGCATAGAACGCCTTCCTTCCGACGATCGTTTGCTTATGTGGCGGTTCAGATATGGAATAATTTACGAACTTCAGTTAAAAGCTCATCGTCAAAAACATTCTCAAAACGGACAAAAACGTTGTTACAGAATCACCAGCTACTTTAGCAGCGTTTGTATGAGCAAAAATATCGTTTTTACATTCCTACTCGCTGACAAATTGTATAGATTTGTTCTTCGCATCCGGGGGGTTCTTTCTTCATTTTTGCCTTTTTGTGTTTCACTGCCTTTTCTTTTGCCTCTTTATTGTTATTTTTTATTTTGTTTAAGGATTTTTAGGGTGTTCAGGGCTTTCTCGCATGAACTCTTTGTATTAAAGGGTCCAATGTATGGGTTTTATAATCGAGAGACTGTCCTTTTTCGTCATTGCTTGTAGAATTTCCTTTGTTTATGATGTTTCTTCATGACGAAATAAATATTTTGAATTTGAATTTTAATTGTGGTCCTTTAAATAACATTGACGCTGAATTCTTTGTCATCTTTCAGAACTCTTCGGCTGCTGGTCTATCAGGTCAACCTCAAAACGAAGTGAACCCTGTTGTGGTGCATTGTAGTCCAGGAACAGGGAGAACTGGAGTGGCGATCGCCTGTGACATTGCCATAAGGGAATTCGAACAGACGAGACTCGTGGACGTTCCAAAAACAGTGTACAGGATACGAAGAGACAGGGCGAACTCAGTACAGACTAAGGAACAGTACATGTTCATATATAAGGTAAATTTGAAAGCAGCACTGGTTAAACATTATGCTCGGAGTTAGTCACATTGGCGGACAGTATTTGCATAATTGCCGTATATGGAAAACAATAGAAAAAACTGTGTAAAGCTGATACAACTGGGACAATTTGAAAAATATGTTTCGTCATCAATACAATCAAAAAATACCAGTGCCTTGATCATTTCTATCACATATCTTTTTGAATATTCAAAATAAGCTCATAGAAGTTTTCGTCTTCATATAGATTCAACGAAAAATATAAAATTTTACAGTCTAATCCCGATGCAGGATTAATTCGGTATTTGTTTAGGAACTGTGATAGATGTCATATTTTATGCCTTTAAGTTTCCACCTTAATGAGTCCAAAAGTCCTCCAATGCAACCGGAATGTTGTTAGAAATGAGAATATCGATATTATTCATATCAAATATTTGTACTCGAGCCGGAAAAATGGAAAATTCGGACCCTTTTTGCTGCGCTTTCTGCTATCATCGCTGAACACAGTAAACTACTTAAAGCATATTAAAATTGAAACCACATAAAACGCAATTTTGTTAACATGCTTTTTATATGGAAAGGCTTCCTTGAAGGCAGATGTGTATTATAGGCAAAAAATATTGCAAAATAGTAATTGTTGCTTGACCACCCGACGGGTTATTTCGAAAATTGTACCGTGATCCTTGATTTCATTCTTTCATATTTATATGCTATATGCAGCAAACTACCAATTTCTAATTCACTAACTAAAAAAATAAGGTTACGGGTGAATACAGTATACACCTTGCCTTATCCCCTTTGTCTGAAATCAATTAATTAAAAGTTTTGCTGTTTCCTGTCAAAACCATTGACTCCTTATTTGTGTAACTTAAAAAAATGCCTTCAAAGATACGCTAAATATTTTAAAAAGCTGTTCATACAGATAGTATAAGAATGAAATTACAGGCACAATATCTATCTTGCAAAATCAATTTGCTTGTTGAAAAAGATACATCCCGCTGTCTGGTAGTCAAATAGGCACGTGGGTTCTTCTACAACTGATTGCCGATTATTGAAAAAGGTTGACTGAAAAAGTCTATCAACATTTTCACGATGGCTTAGCTATAGTTTTTATGTAGAACGGAAAATTAGATTTTCCCGGATGTTCGCTTTGCTCGGGTTTCCCCTATGTACTTTTAAGATACTCATTCTCAACAATAAGGAAGAAAAAATATTATTTGTATGTTTATGTTCTATACTACTAACCCTATCTCATGCCAAAAACACATAAGTCAAGAACAGTTTGTCAGGCTTTTTCATTATTATTATGAATGATAATATGTGAATGTTATTTGCCTTTTCAATCTTTCCGAACTATATGGATTACACATGCTGTATTGTTAAAGTGTCACCTGAAACTTATCATGTGGTTGACATGTCGATAATCCCCCATGCTTATATGGCCAATTAAACCATATGTATTGACAGAATCCCCTTTACTGTACTAAGTATAATGACTACATCTTTGTTATTTAAACCTTCACAGTAAAGAAGATTCTGTCAATACATGTAGTTTCATTGGCCAAAGAAGCATGTGATGATTAGCTTCTAGTGTCTCCTGAAAAATCCAAAGTCTGTGATTTGTGAGGTTTTTGGAATATCCGATTCAATTGAAGTTAGTTTTGTTAAAATCGATTAAAACTGGTCATTTTAAATAATATTTTTTGCAGGTCGTCAGCTTGTACGCAACAAAACTGACAGGTGGCGTCCTGGACCCGATATGACCGCCTATTAGATTTAGTATTCTAGAAATTATGATTTGTGATACGTACACGTTTGCATCTCAAAGTTGCTAATTACCTAGTGACCAAAAATGAGATTTATTGTATTGTTATTTTAGTTGTCTGACAATTTTATTGTATATACATTTTAATGATGAACAAATATAGAATTTTATTTTTACCAGTAGTATTAGTATACACACTGGAGGATCGCAGTAGGGCGTCTTTGAACCGAAAAAGACGGTGCACGTGTATCTCACCGTATTCAAAGCAATGGAAAACAATATTGGTATTTTCTTTCTGTACTAAAGCTAATCAAGCTAATCTCTTCTATGTTAACTGAATTGAAGTACAAGTGTGTAACCCTGTCGAATTTTATACATCCAGAACAGACCGATGAGACCGCTCCGTTGTTCCTAGGTTGTCGAAATTGTGGAAAAGTCTGCCTAATCGGCTTATGCCAGTTCTAGTAACTTTAGGCAGTACAAAAATCGGATTAACGAGGTGTCTTCAAGCTCATTATAGCAGCAGCACTATCCCAGTATTTAGGATTCTGCCTAAAAAAGTGTTAAGAAAACCATTTTAAATCAGGGATTTCAAACAAAACTAAATTTCTTAGTAAAAGCTCCTCGTAATAATCAAAGACAAACCTCGTTAATGACGTATATATGACGTACAAAATATCAACATCTGCCCTATCTTCAACTAGTAAGTATACCTACTTAATGAATCGAACACAGCACAATACTAAATTTTCGAATTCTATATAGCAATCATTTTTCAATCCGTACATAGTAATTATGCATTCGATGGCGATGTATGCCCAAATACTTCTATAGTGACTATAAACAGTGCTGTGAAGTATAACATGTTCCCTGTGGATAAAATATGTCTAGTAGTTCCAAGAGAGACGCAAGTACAGCTTTTGGAGATATGTTGCAGATTCAATGAAGTTTATTTCCCCTTTTCTCAACTTTTGTTGCAATGCGCTTTTGATAATTTCAAAGCAGGAATCAAAACATTGTGTGTAAACTCTGGTAGTAGGAATTTTTAAACGCAATCCACCAAAGCAGACAATATCATTTCCTACATTATTATATCAACATTTTTAAAAAATTCTGTCTGTTTCACTTCTCTTATGATACGGGTCTTCAACAAAGACTCCTCTTCTCTGTAATATTCTAACTTCAGACTCATCCAAATGATGGACACAAATCGAACAGGAGCTGATTTTGATAATAGATTTGCGTGAAAACAGAACATAGGCGTGAACAAAGATATACCCTATTTCACGCGTATCCATCTTGGTAGAATGACAGCTGATTATCTAGTAATATCTCAAAATTCCCCATATCGGCACAGGAAACATAATTCTGACGGATCCGTCAACGCCATATAGACATAGCCGAATTTTGTTCTGGTTTATTGTACGCCACAGATTCATTTGCTTGCTAACAGCTCTTTTATTTAGAAAAGTTCATTTGCATACAAAATACAAAACGCCACAAACAAGTTTTGCTAGATTTATGCGCGATTCATTATTGCCAACGTTGCAGAGTAACACAAAAATGTCACTTGCTGATCAGTTGTTCACCTTAGTAGACGTCAAAGCGTGGATTGCTTGTTTATCTTCAGTTTATACGATTAAAAAACAAAATTCCATAGGCGAGGCAAAAATTCTTCAGTGTTTTTTTCACATCAATGACATAAAGAAGAAAATTCCCCCGAGAAAGTGATAGGTAATATACTAAGTGACATATAAATCCGAACACCCAGTTTAAATGGTTTTATTTTAATAAAATTTTGTATAAGCAGTTAATGAAGCATAATAAGTAAATGATAAAAATTTCAAAATGATTGCACTGATTTAAAGCCCTTTGACCTTTAATAATGTGAGGATGCACCCTGATGTGCTACGCATTCTCCAACGCGCCTAGGCATGCTTCTGATCAGGTGGTCAATGTCCTCCTGTGGTATCTCATTCCCGGCAACCACCAACTCCTCTCGAAATGCTTCTAGAGTCTGAGGAGGACGTTGCAAATTGAGCAATCTCCTACCCATCATATCCCACACGTGCTCAATTGGGGATAAGTCGGGAGATCTTGGTGGTCATGGTAACAATGTGACATCATTATGTTGAAAGAAGTCTATTGTGACTCTTGCAACATGTGGTCGGGCATTATCTTGTTGGAAAGTTGGATCTGCCAGGGTGTCAAGATAGGGTAAAAGATGGGGTTCTAGAACTTCGTGGATATAACGCTGCGCGTTCATGTTACCTCTGATGAAGATTAAAGGTGACCTGGAACCATAAGCTATAGCACCCCAAACCATAACTCCAACAGTGTGATGAACATGTCTTTCAACAAAAAACTGTGGATTCCTCCTTTCACCACGTTGCCTTCTAACCCTGGCACGACTATCGTGCATGCCTAAACAAAATCGAGACTCGTCACTAAAGACAATACTGTTCCATTCCTGATCCCAGAGTGACCGTTGTCTGCACCACTCAAGGCGATTACGTCGGTGTTCTCGAGTTAAAGGGAGGACCCAGTGTGGCCGGTATGAAAACAAGCCAAAACTTCTCATTCGTCGGTAAACACTTCGCATGCCAATAGGTCTTCCGTGTTCTGCAAACCATTCATTTGCAATGGACCTGGTAGTGGAGAAACGGTCCCTTAAGGCCAATACTCTTAGGCGGCGATCTTCACGGTCTGTTGTTCTACGGCGGCGTCCAGTGCCCCTTGCTCTTTGCGTACGGCCTTCTCGAAGCCATGCCTGACAACACCTAACCACAGTGTCTACACTTCTTTGCACTCTAACTGCACTTGCCCGAAAAGAAAGTCCAGCTTCCCGAAGTCCCACTATACGGCACCTATCAAACTCACTAAGTTGACGAAATCGTACAGGTCTCCGTACTCTAGGCATCGTAACCGATCGTAAAGGATGTCAAGAACCAAAATCCGCCAACGTTGATTCTTTACTGCGGCTGAAATATTCATTTTTAGAGCGTTAGTGAATTAAAAAAAACAGTATAAAAACCGGAATGTCCAACTGATAAGGCTGAAAATTTTTTCACTTGTTATTTACAGTAAGATAAATACATTCACCAACTTTTATTAAAATAAAACCATTTAAACTGGGTGTTTGGATTTATATGTCACTTAGTATAGTATCAATTAAGCACAACTTCTTTATTAATACTTTTGTATATGTTCATAAGAAGTTTCATGACCGTATTGAGCGTAACGTATACGGTGTGCCGCGGATAATCACACCACAGTTCTTCAGTTTTAGAATCTTGTCACTCGACGATCACCAATTTTATGAAAAAATGCATGGAACCTTTTTTGTGGGAAATTTCAATCTTCACTAAAAAAGCTTTCTACGGTTAGATTGTTTTTTATATTAAAGTACCGCATCAATCACGCAGGGTTATTAGCGGTGGATCGATACTAGGTTATAGTCTGATATATGGCCAACAATGCGCAATATTTTGAACACTTATGGTAATAACAAATGATAATTTCGTGTGTTTGTCCGAACAAATTAAGATAAATAAAGATTTTTCTTGAAAACGAATCGACTGATTTAAAAAATAAATGACTTTGAAAGACCTTTCAAACAAGTTATTTGAAATTTTTAAGGGGAAGGATGACCCTGGGGCAGAGGGTGAAAGGGGGTGAAGTAGTTTTTGTTTAAAAAGTTGACAAATCTTTTGAGTGTCTCGGCGATTTTTATTTTAATCGGTGCTATTCAATAAATCCGTGGTGGGAAGCTTTCAAATGAACACCCTGTATAGTATGATCTTAAAGTAAGTGGTAATATTTGATTGCTTTAAGGAAGTGAATAGTGTTATTGAGGTTCGTAGTGAGTGCATGTTTAAGTAGAAGATACGATTTGTTCCAACTTTAAGGCTTCGTATCGTACCATTCGGTTATCATTTAGTACACTTTTTTACGCATGCGCTGACTGGTCATGATTCCAGAACTGTTTATGGGCTGGAAGATGGCTAGAACGATTTTGGAGTCGTTATTGTAACTAGAAAGTGACAGATACCCCTTCGTCACTACTCGCCGCAATGAAAGCTGGACAATATCTATAAATTATCTTTAAATAGAAAACTCACAAGCTCTCAGAGCACGGTTACAATTTGGTTGGTGGTTACAGGCTAACAACACCTCTACTGTGTAGGTCAGTTCCTTTGATTCCCTTTTCAATTTAGGTACCGAGTTCATTATAATAAAACTGTTCCGGAACGATCCCAACATTGGTTGGAACGAAATGCAGAACCATTACGTTACGATACCGAATACTGTTGGAACAGTTTCTTCTAAACGGTTCTCCGCCGGGTTGGAACAGAACTATTAAGAAATCTCGGCAGTGAGGACTCGCGACTCTCCTCTAAAACATGTTTTACAGTTAGGGGTGTGTTGTAGGTTACGCACTGTGGTTGCGCTGATCTTGTGTAGAGGTAGCTGTGTGCCAGCGAGAGATGACCACCTGCTCCCTTCTGATGAGATGGAGCATTAAAGCGATATTATCATTACATGTACCTTTACCCTTGAATTTCTCGTAACCTGTTCACTAAACGGTAACTTTTCAAACAAGCGAAATGATCAGGAATTTAAGTCCGCATACAATTCTTTCTATGACTCTTTGACATAGGATCGATCGTTTACGAAATGAAACGTTTATCAAAGCCCTAGGATGACGCCATATTGTACTTATTTTTTAGGAAGCAATAATCTAAACTAAACCTATTTCCTGGTCTAAAATAACCTTTACGTAGGTTGGTAAATAAAACACTCAATATTTACCACACTTGCTTTGCTTCATTTTGAAAACAATAGAATATAATTAAGAACTTCTTGTAGTTATCTGGATGGGTACAAACTTCAAAGGTGTGTTTCATGTTTTCAGACCTTGATCCATTTGCAGGCATACTAGAACATACGTCACGATATTCGAAACGAGCTGAAATATAACGAATTATATAAAATGAGCTGATTTCAAAATAGCGTTATACATACAGTAGGTACAATTGGCATCCCTATGGTGAACATATGAGAAGCTCGCATTATTGGTTTTTGCAAGGTTAAGCTCAACACCAGCATCTGAATCTGAAAAATATGTTTTATCAAATATCTACAATTCGACAGCGAAACACTATGTCCAATCAGAATCCAACCATCAATTTGAACCCGGAGTCCTGTTCTTCTGGCCTCCAAAATTTAACCAGTAACTGATTAGCGGAGGTCTATGGCGTTCTAACACTTGTTGGTTTATTTGTACGATTTTAGTTTGAAAAAGAAATACTTGAACTGTTTTTATTGATATTCTAGTCCAGGTTCATTACAAAGGGTGCTACAAAAGTTTTGCAATACAGCTTTATTTATTGAATTCGTTCAAAGTAACTTCCACCACATTTAATACGCTTCTCCATTCGCCAAAACGGTTTTCTTTTTAGCTTCATTTTCACATGCGGAAACAGTGCAAAGTCGCAGGGAGCAAGATCTGGACTGTAAGGAGAGTGCTCAATAAGTCTCAGTCCAGCAGTGGTCAAAGACTCGGTGCAGGCTTTGGCACTGTGAGCTGGAGCTTTGTCATGGTGTAGGTGTCAAATCTCCATTCTTGACTTTGGCAGCAGGTTTTTCAAAGACTGTATGACTTTAGGCAGGCACAGTTCCGTGTACCACTTGGAACCACCTGAATATAGTCGTATGTGAGAACAATCGTTCTTTAATGTGTCATTTCTTCTAAGCACTAGTCTATGCTTAAATCACCTGTAAAGTTATACCATAAAAATGCCCTTATCTCACTACGTGACCACCATACCATAGTCCGCACTCTGTCATTACGAATGAGCAACTTAATCAACAGACGTGCGGCTGACGGCTACTATGCACTCATGGACATGTCCCAACGTGCCTCCTGCGTCCGTTTGTTAAGTCATATCGCAGAACTTTTATAGTACCCTATTGACTGAAACTTAGAGCCATTTGTAATGTTCAACATAGAAGAAAGGTTTGTGTAATAATGCTCAACGGTTTCTGCCAATTTCCAATCATTACTAATTTCTTCGAGAAAAACATTACTTTCTTAGAGCTGTCCAGCGATCTCAGATCAAACAAATGGTATCGCATAAGGCTCAGTCCACTTTTATGGATTCAATTTGTAATCATATCTAAGGATGATACTAACTTTTCAGATTCATAAGTATATATATGTTTGCCTTATGAACAATTTGAGTAAGTCCGTTGTGTTTTCAGAGACGTAATTAGGATAGACGCCATTAAAATGGCATCAGCGACGTTTGTTTTTGTGCATGGTATATTTAAGAAATTCTAGCAATAAAATGAGCCCAGCACTATCCTATTTGATTGATTCAAAGGTACTGGACAGCTTGTCAGAAAAAGAATAAAATAAATGTAATGAGACTCTTTATAATAACAAATTAACTGCTACAGCAAGTTGGCCATTGGAGGTCTGATTTTGGAGGACTCAAGTTATATTTAAACGCGGAAAAGTGACGTTTCCAACTTTGACGTTTAATAAAAATGTTACCCAGCAAACGTTTTTGAAACTTTGGATGAGGAACCTTTTCGTTTACCCTCAAGAATATTTTTTTTGTGATACCCTTATACAAGGTCCGTCAAAAAGAACGCATGTTTTTCGAATGGGTACTACATCGAGTGGGCTGGTCCCGGATTGGTGGGGAAGGGCGTTTTGCATAGTGGGAGAAGTACCGTTTCAGTTGGCAAGGGGGTTTGGAACGTTGAGCATCGTGTGTTCACTGTACCCTGGTACTTTCAAAATGGCGAGTCTGTCGTTCGAACGCAACGTGAGTTTCGCGTTCGCTTTCGTGTTCCACGTCGTGGGACAGTACCAGACCGTATCACTATTTTGAGATGAGTGGCAGCATTCAGCACAACAGGTAGTGTGATGAAGAAAAAAACGCCTCTGCGAAACCGTACTGTTAGAACACCCGAAAACGTAAACAGAGTGACAGTTGACACGCTGCAAAGCCCAAATCCTTCCGCCCGTTTGCGTGCCAGTTCCCTGGGATCCACGCGGCCTCTGTACGTCGCATTTTGAAGAAGGATTTAGTGTTCCATCCTTACAAAATCCAAGTTTGTCAACAACTGTTGCCAGGGGATTATGCACAACGTGTTAATTTGGAACAGCTCATGATTGAACAGTTGGATAACAATGACATGGCGTTGTTTATGAGTGATGAAGCACAATGATGGTTATTGGCCCTTATTTTTTTGAGGATGATGGAGAAACAACTACTGTGAGTTCAACGTCGACGTGTCCGTCTCAGAACAGTGTGGTTCCAACAAGACGGGCAACATCTACTACTCATTTAAAAAACATCCGTTCTTTCTGAAGGACCCTGGATATACATTTTGTTCTAGAATAAAACCGGTGCAGCAGGTGCTGTTGAGGCGCTTGCTATTACTCAAGGACTGACCCTTTCCCCGCGTTTCTTTACAACCCAGTAGTCTGCTGGTTCTCTTTCTGGCCACGCATCCTACCCCGTACAGCACAACTCTAACCACGTTGTTGTGGAGGTGCGGGTTCGGTCAGAACCGGTTGTGGCAGCAGAAACTCGCTCAAGTCGGAAAATTTTGCATTACGGACACGCCTACTAGGAAAGGCTCATAGACTTTTTCTCTATCTTTCCTTGGAGAGGATTCTGAGGCTGTGTCGGCCGCCTGTTCGCCAATAACAGGAACCATCCACGTCTAGATGGATAAATAGATCTATCATACATTCAAAGTGCATAAACCAGAGTTTAACTGCTGATTCAACAAATCGTGCGGTACTGCTTGTTGGCGGAAGATCAAGGCACGCAAGACCTTCTTACAAAACCCTACTGTACTGAACGCACAACCTGACGTTCAGTCAAGAAAAAATATAACGAGGAGGTTCGTAATGCCAAAGACCAGCACTATGCAAAAATTAGGCATAGAGTAATGTCACAGTGCAATGGCAGTCTTTCTGGACGCTGGTCAAGCAGATTGAAGGAAACCTCTCAAAGAGTGGCCTTCCACCGCTTATCTGTCAGGATGGAACGATTGTAACCGACTTTGCGTCTCTTCCAGATATCTTACGCCTTCCAGAAAAAAATCTAAGAACGACCCTTACCACTACAGGTCTATAGCTCTGCTTTCTGTTATGAGTAAGGTGAGGGAGAGGTGCATAAATCGGAAGCTTCTGGAGTACCTCGGACGTATCGGTTTGATAGCGACAGGCAGTATGGTTTCCGGAACCAGCGATCCACAGGGGACCTCCTAGCTTACGTCACGCAACTGTGGAGTAAACTATTCCAGTGAGGCTGATGTCGTTGCTCGTCAATCCTTGGCCTCCCCAGAGAAGATTTGCAGATGGGTGGCTGGCTTCCTTTCTGGTCGTAAGATAACCGTCGTAACTGACTTCATTTCACAATATCGACGCGGTTGTCCCACTGGGATCAGTCTTGACTTCGATATTTTTACTCTTACATATCAACTACCACCTTTCCAGTTTGAGCAATCCGATCCAAAGCTTTGCTGATGAGAGCACATGCAGTAATTGAGAGTGACAAGTCGATCTCTTCTGGTGAACAGGAGAAAAGAAGACCGGCAGCGACTTCCTCTCTAACGAAAGACCTGGAGGTTATCATTGATTGGGGACGCAACAATCTGGTACAGTTTTATGCTGACAAAACGCAGTACTAAATCTTAACTAACAAGAAGCGCCTTAACGAGCACCAAGGGCTTGATCTAGCACGAACACATCTTGTCCGGCATCGGCTAGGTTATTTACTTAGGGCGAAGAAGTACTTTTCACCACATGACCTTACTCTGTACAGGGCGCAGATAAGACCTAGCCTCGGATACTACTCATATGTTTGGGGTTCAGAGGAGGGCTGTCCGACAGATCCATGACGTTCACTAACGGAAAGTATCTCCTTTCGCACAGACCATCCGTCGGCGATCCAGATTTCTTCTTCTACTATGCCACCAAGTTTTGCTCCTCAGAGCGTGATGCGCCTGCTACACAGATCCGCCTGATTTCGGCCTCCTAACCTGACAGTGTCGAACTTTGTACATCCAGAACTGGCCGATATGACCGCTCCTTTGTCCCTAGGGTACAACAACCTACCTGAAGAGGCTTTTCCCAGTTCTGCTAACCTTGCAGTTCAAAAATCGGAAAACGAAAATTTCTTTAATCTCCTCATAGGAGCCCTGGTATTTAGGCTTCTGCCTCCGTAGCTGCCTCGGTATAAAAAAGATCGATTTTTGCCTAGTTAGTCACCATGCCGTGTAATAAGTGGAAGAATACAATAGAAAAGCTTTGTATTATTTTAAGAGTAGTTAATATTATTTTTTAGGCAAAAACATTGATTGTTCATGTTCCACCAGAAAATACCCAAGCTATCTCTCCGCGAAAACGGACATATCTACCGTGGCGCCTCTAACCACTTATGCTTATAACTATACGACGTGTGTTCAAGAAGTATCGAATCTTAAATGTTCCCGCGTAAACCAATGAAGCGTAAACTTGAGCAGCGATATTGCATCAAATTTTGCTAGAATCTTGGCGATACGCAAGTGGAACCATTCGCAAGGTTCAACAAGCTTTCGGGGACGATGCCATGAGCACCTGATGGATAAAGGGGTGGTACAGGGTGCTGCAGAGAGGATGGACGGTTTTAAAAAAATCATAAAATAGTTAATTTTTACTCGAAAACATATTTATTGATGGAATCAGGTTCACAAGAAAATAGCATTTGTGTCAGTCAAGTGTGGAAAATCACATCACGCATGTGGTGGCCGAAATCGTTGATGCAGTGCTGGAGGCGTTCTTGGAAGTTCGCGTAGACTCTCCAACATCGCTCTCTCAACTTGGGCGGCTTCCACGCGAATTTCGCGGAGATCCATATGCAAAATTCGCCTTAACGAACGATCACTAAGGCGAAGTGCAGAAGCATGTTTCCGGGCAGAGCGAGTCGGACTGCGAAGAAATGCCTGTCGAACGCGTTCAACATTTTCAGGAGTTCGAACTGTTCGCGGCGCTCCTCTTGGTCTTCTGTTGATCAGTTCACCACGCCTGTGAAGTGATTCAACCCAACGAAGG